CATTTACATCTATTATCTATCTGTCTGTCTGTCTATTTATCTCTATTTATCACCTACCTACCCATCCACCTATCATCCCAATTATCCATCCATCCATCTGTCTGTCCGTCTGCCTGTCTGTCTATCTGCCTGTTTGTCTATCTGCCTACCTATCCACCTACTTACCTGTCTCTCTCCCCACTACCTACCTACCTCTCATCTGTCTCTCTGACAAGGAAGCTTGGAAGTGGGAGGGTATGGGAGAAGAAGGAGTCTAAAGGGAGGAGAACAGGAGAAGGTGGTAGGGAAAAGATGCCACGTGAAGTCTTGGAATCGCTCTTTATGAATGACATTAGGATTTTTGTTTTTGTTTTGTTTTCCTCTCTGTTCCTTGCCTGGGCCCAAGTTTGCCAATTATGTCAGCTAGAGGAAGAAGCTATACCTTGCTTTGGAGTCTGACAGTCAGTGGGGATGTGCACTTTCCCCTCAACATCCAGGAGAGGAGACTGAGGAGGGCTCACTGGTTTCCCACAGTGAGAAGAGCTGAGAAGAGTTAGCTCTAAAATACACGTTGTAAGCGCTGTCTTTCCGACCTCTCCCACCCGCCCCCTTCTCTTCTCGAGTCTAGTTAGTATTATTTTTCAGTCCTTGATAGTTTTGAAGACTTGGCATATTCCCCAATTCACAGCCTCTAAATTTAGGAAATATTTTGCTCAGTTGTAGAGGTTACTTCTGAAATCAGATTGCTACCCAGGGGTGCAGGTTTCCTGTGGGCATCTCCTCCACAAGTCAACTCCCTCTCTGCACGGGCCAGGGCTCGTCTCTCACTTCATAGCTACATCCACAAAGAAAGTTTTAAAACCCAACTTTCACCTCAAACTCAAATTAGTAACAATGCAAGTTCTATTGGGATGAGACTACAGGAAACGTGTCGAGTCACAAATGAAATGATTTTTTTTTTCCTCCCAAGCACCAGCATTGGAGAGCTTTAACTTCCTGCCTGCGAAGGCCAACAAATGACTAAATGCCGGGGATCTCAGGCCCCGTCTTCAAACACTGAATGCTAGTTGCCAAAAGTCCGTGGTGTTCTTTGTAAAACGTTTTGAATTCTTTGTGGTATGACAGTGTTAACTCAGCCACACATAAACTACAGATAAAGCTGGAAGCCCAGCCAGACTGTGGTGGTGTACACCTTTAATCCCAGCACTCAGGAGGCAGAGGCAAGTGAATCTCCGGAGTTCTAGGCCAGCCTGTTCTACAAGAGCTAGTTCCAGGGCAGGTTCCAAAGCTACAGAGAAACCCTGTTTCAAAAAACAAAGAAAGAAAGAAAAAAATCTGAAAGTCCTCTGATGAATAGACACTATGTTTTCTTCATTTATTTATGTGGATGTTTTATCATTAACATCAATCTATGGCACGTGCTTTAGTTTTATTAGTAGAATATTGCTTTCTTTCTTTTTTTTTTCTTTTCTTTTCTGAGACAGTCTCTAACCCTGGCTGGTCTTGAATTCTCTTTGTAGCAGAAGAATGAGATCCTGAGCCTCTGACCTTCCTGGCTTCACTTCCTGAGTGCTGGGATTACAAGAATATACTACCACACCGGGGTCAGAGGCATTTTAATCCTCACCCGTGGAATGATGAGCTTAGCTTCCAGAGTAAAGTTTGTGTAAATCTTCCAGACTTACACAAATGGCTGAGAATGACTGGCTTGCCTTTGAAATAACATTTTTTAAAAACCTCACATTCCTTCTGTTTCATTTCACGTGCAAAACTCTGCTCGTGAATCACCTGCTCTCCTTGTGCTCCTCCGAGGAAGTCAGCAAACACACTCCTGCATCTGTGAAGTCCTATGATCTCCATGGAGATTTCTCTGCACTCCTCACTTTTGTTTGGTTTTGGAGACAGGGTTTCTCTGTGTAGCCCTGGCTGTCTTGGAATTCACTCTGTAGACCAGGCTGGCCTCAAACTCAGAGACTCACCCGGCTCTGCCTCCTGAGTGCTGGGATTAAAGGCATGCGCCACCATGGCCAACACATTACTCATTCTTTAATTAAAGTCAGATGAAAGCGTAAATAGGGGAGTGGGTCAGTATATACTTGGTTTTTCTTTAAAATCATGATCATATTTTATTATCTACCTTTCCGGCTTCAGTCTCTGTGTTAAATCAAAGTTTCTGCACTGCCACTGTGTCTCCAGTATAATACAGTCTTACATCTTGTTTAACAAGCCTGCCATATTGCCTAATGTGTTTGTCACGGTGAATGACAAAGGAGGGCTATTGTTCTGCTCAGGAAACCATCTATATTTTTATAGTGTTTTCTGTCTGCCATTTGGGGGACTTACATCACGCAAATCTCTGTGGTGTAAAGTTTCCAAAAGGACGTGGCTGCGAATTTTGTGAGGTGTGAGAACTAACTCTTATCTGATAGCAATTTGTTTCCATAGGAAAATTTTATCAGACGAATCAAGACTAGCTCGACCTGTCCCAATTCCAGCTTGATAAGAGATTTATTTACCACAGTGGTACTCTTCTTCTCCCATAGAAATTAAATGTATATTAATGATAATATTAGTATATAAATAACATATATATCTATGTATTTTTCAACCCAGTGGTGGGACTCTTCCTCTTCTATCCTATCACTGCCTTCTTTCCTAAAAGTAGCTATAAGGAGGCACAGACACTAGCAACCTTCATACGTTTGGTAAGTCGCGCCGTGACCTTCTGGGAACACCCTTCGTACTATCCAATTGCATTCAGGTGTCTCCCACAAGACAGTTTTCAGAGTCTTCCACCTCCTGAAACCTGTCACCTTGATCTTCACCGTGGGTGATTTTTTGCTTTTTTTCTTCAAAGTTTGAGAAAAATGTGTTCGGCTTCCTTTGAAGTCTAAGAAGGTGGAAATGACATTCTGGGGTCACTTTTTTTTTTTTGCTACTATTGCATATAGGCTAACCACGTTTGTTGTTGACGTTTTCCAAGTATCCAGAACAAAAGAGATCTTGTAGACAAATTATCAAACTATTTCCCAGGTTCAAAATTAATGGCTGGGTACCACTGGTTTCCAAAGACCCTGCTTGCCCTTTCATAAGGTACCTCTTACCTTAAAGCCAAGCGTGGCTCTTCTCTATAAATCTTCCTATCATAAAGTTAAATGAACATGTGATTTTCTCCACGACTGACTCTGCTGTTGGATCATTTACGGATTGGTGTTCTTAGGGAAACAGCACAGAAATGGAGGAGAAACAAAGTGTATTTCATCTTTCCTTTGTCAGTTATCAAGAGGGCATTTTGTGGTTCTGACTCAGGAGGACACGCCACAGCAATGTACCTCTAGAATGAATTTATCTAGAAAAACCCCAATTCAAAAGCTTTCTCTGTGAAGAAAAGTGCTTCCATTTCCTTTATCAGAATGGGGCGTTCTCTCTGATAAGCTTTTCTAGGTAAGTACTCACAGTAATTAGTGAAAATCTGACTGTCAATATGTCATTAAGTGTAGGGTAAGTGCTTGAGGGGCCCCATTAGAGTCCACAGGGGCACTCAGAAATAAACTTTCTCTTCCCTAAGAAGCTTAAAGTCCCATTAGAGAAAGAAGAATGTACCTGAAACAATTAGATACCTAAGCAAACTAAAGGCCAAACCCATATTATTAAGACATTGTATCCAGTGACTGCACAGGCTGGAAAAACCTGGCCTTCTTCCGGCTCTACTGGTATCTTCTCTTCCCTTTTCCTGCTGTGTCCTCTTTTCTCAACCCCTTTTCTCCTTTGGGATCGCTTAGTGATGTTTCTAGGTCAGTATTTCTTTTCTCATTCATGAAAAGAAAAATAACGTGATTATGTATCATTTATTTGCTTGGTATATGGACTCAACCTCTCATTAAGCCATTACTTAAACATGTGCTGTCTCACGGTGGTAGGTCACATGAGGGATCAGTCTCCCAGATTTGCCCCAGTCCTGCCTGTCTGGAAAACAAAACACCAAAGATCTTGGCTTTTGCCTTTTGTTTTTACAAGGGCCATCAAACACATCCTAAGCACCCACAGTGATAGACAGGCAACTTAGGCACTCGGCGGTGGGGACCTGAGGAACTCTGAGCTTCTCAGATACTTTCTTGTGCTTTTGTCTTCTCGCTTCTCCTGCCTCACTTCTGCAGGACCACTTAGTGCTCCAGGGCTCAGCCAGGGGCTCCTTCTTCTTTTTTCCCTTCTCCAGATTCCCTTGGTGCACCCACATGGATTCAATTAGCACCCATCACAGATGAGCCCCAGATTCCCATCGCTAGCCCTGACCTTTCATCCTCTCTTCAGGCCCGTATTTCTTAACGTCTAGAAAATATATAGAGAAGATATTTCTCATTGCCATCTACATCAGACACATCAGGACCAGATTTTATTATCTCTCCTCCGAGAAGAGCCACACCGGGTCCTCTTCTCACCACGGCACAAGCCCTAAACATCCAGCTTCTGGGGTGTGTTTCAGCAGTCTCCCCCTTCCCTCTCGCCTGTGCACTTCCCTCAAGTCCTCAATAAAGACTTACTAGCATTTTTCCTATATTCAACTTGTGTGTACGTGTGGGTTTGAAACAGGGCCTTTCTACACAGTCCCAGGCTGGCCTCGAACTCGCAGAGATCCACCTGCCTCTGCCTTCTGAGTGCTAGGACTAAAAGCAACAACTGGCTCTTCTAGAATTATTCTTGATAATAACTGCCTCAAAGCCAAAACTACGTCTACCAACACACTCAAAGAGAAATTGTGAATAATAAGAACTCTTTCAAGGGTACTCTGTACTCCAAGAGGGGTCAGGGACACTTGCTGTCTTATGCTGTCTACTGATTTAAGATGGAATTCTTTGACTATTTATTACCTTTACTATTTACTTAACTCAATATTTGCTTTACTATTGTGTTCCCAGGCACCCTGTGCAAGTTTGTTGAGGTGCTGGAAAAATCTAGACAACATAAATTTAATGGCATTCCAAACTCTTATCAATCAAAAGGCCCATCTGTAAGGCATTAAGATGCCAGCAAATTTCACCTTGTCTTAACTTCATATTTCCCAATGCTTGATTTTCATCCCCTTCTATAGCTTTTGTTTGTCTCAAAGCAGAGATCAGTTTAGGAATTGCTATGAGTTGCGGGGAATGAGCCAACCACAGCTGATTGGGCCAGCTCCTGAAGAAAGTATCTTACACCGTGTCCTCTCATAGTCCTCTGATGGGTTCGTTAGGAGGCAGCTGCTTTGGAAGATAGCTCCTCTGCCCCTGAAAACTCAGGCCTCTCACTTCCTGTAAAAAAAAATCACCCATGAACACATTCATTATTGAAGCGCTTTCTTTGAGGCACTCATTCCTGTGGCAGAGGGGCACCACAATACACAGCGCCGACACACAGTTCCTGCCAGTTCCCCACTTGTTCAGACGCTGTTAATGGAATGTGGAGATGCTTAGTAAAGTCTGTATTTGTGCAATCTCCAGGCGCACACCGTTAGAACATAGAGAAGTGTGCCCATCGAGGCAGGCCTTAAAAGGCACACAAAGAAACAACCAAGGCCACCAGAACGGGAGCCCCTTGAGTAGGGGGTGGAATTCTGCCGTTCGGAAGTCGCAAGGCAGATGACAAACAGGGGGAGGAGCGGAAGGAGGGGCTGGTGCCAGGTTGGCACTTCTTTATGAAGTTAACCACACCAGCACCAACACTGTGGTTACTGCAGGTACAACAGCACCTGAAATGTAACCCGCTTTCTGTGCTATAAACTACGCTCCCCTTCCCAGGCACAGCCCTATGTCTGCCTAGAGTTAGGTGACTTTGTCAATTGGCACAACGGTGCCTTCTAAGGCGACAGTGCAATGCAAGCGAGTGTCCTGAGATGATCTGAATGACACCCCGGTGGGTCCCTGGTACTGGGAAAGGCCATCAATAAAGAACTAACTTGGGAAATTCCCCAACATGATTATGAGATGAAGGCGATGACCTGAACCCCTCCAACACCAATTAAGTGGCTGCCTTGAATACTGCTTCGCTTGGAAGTTTTCTCTCCCAAGCTGGTCGCTGGGAGGAGTGCGAGTGAGTGAGTGTGCATGTGTGTGCGTGCGTGCGTGTAGGAGATATGGAAATGGTATTAACATACCTACTAATGAACACACAAAGGAAAATAAACAGAAAATAAATAAGGGAATGTTTCAGAGGCTGTAGAGGAAGAGAATTATTTCGAACTCTCAACACTGTATTCAGATCTAACCCAAGTGAAGTAGGAAACGTTGGCCCAGTGTGGAGGAGGGGTCCAAAGAAGGAGGAAGAAAGGGAACCAACATTTATCACAACATTGAGAACAAGCCAGGAACGTTACATGCATCATAACTCCTGGCAAGGACCCTGTAAGACAGTGCTCATTAACCCGCACCTCACAGACAAGGAAAGCCAAGTTCAGAAGTTAGCCCTGACTGGGGTCAAGCAGCCAGTGAGTAACGTGACTCTGAATCAGACTCAGGTCTGACTCTGAAGCCCATCTTCTTTCAATTACACCACACTGCTTATTAAAGGCCTGAATGGGACGCCGTAGGAGCAAAAGCTAAAGGAAGTTCTATAACTCACACTGGACAAAAAAGACTGGAAAATGATATAATGTTTTTGAAGTACTGTCTAGGAAGGATTAGCCTAAAGGATGGTAACCAGCTGTTTTGAAAGCTGTTCTGAAGAAAGAGGAATAGAAAATGGGCTTTTGCTGTCACATGAAGGGAAGCCTCCTTACCAGAAGGCTCGCTCGTTTGGGAGTTAGTAGCTGAGGAACCAGCACGGTGGAGTCTCCTTCCTGTGCAAGTCAAGATGGCTGACCCAGAAGAGAGGAAAAGTGCAGTTCTGCTTACATGGAGGCTGTAATAAAAGAGTTGACCAGAGAAAAGGAAGAGGGGAAAATCTGCCTCGGAATAGCACATCACCAAAATGGCACAGTTGGCCGAGGGCACTGAGCAACTGGAGGAAGGTTGAACGGGGCAACACAGAAAAAGGAAATCATGATAATAAATACTAACAAAAATATCCCTCCAAAAACTTGTGCTGTCTGTCGTCTGTCTGTCTGTCTGTCTGTCTGTCTGTCTAGTGGAGGTCTGGCTCAGTTGGTAAAGTTCTTGCCATAAAATCATGAGGAGCTAAATTTGATCTCCGGCACCACATACAGCTAGGCTTAGAGGTGTGTGTCTCAGTACTGGGAAAGCAGAGACAGGGGGATTCTTGAATCTCACTGACTACCATCACAGCCTAATCAGCAAGCTCCAGGTTTAACTGAGAGACTCTGTCTCAAAAACCAGGTACACAGTGCCTGAAGAATAATACCTGAGGTTAACCTCTGAGGTTAGCGCGCACACACACACACACACACACACACACACACACACACACACCCACCACCACCACCACCACCAAAGAAAGTCTGGTATTATTACGCCTACAGCACCTGTTTCTCCAAAGACATTTTCACACCATATAGATTTTCATCTGAATGCAATAATGTAAGAAAAGTCCTGCTTCCATGTAGGAATGCATTAAGGCATTAAAGGCTAAATGAGCAAGCACTTTAGGGGCTTTTTTAAACTTTCCAAATGGTTAATTTTTTTAAAAAAATTTACATTTATAAGGACTTAATACTGCTCACATTTCAAACATGATATTGCCCCCACTATGTCCCACCATATACCAGACATTATCCTATGATGAGCTGCATTTTAGTCTTGTGAAAACCGTGGCCAATAGAACCATCTAGCTAATAACAGGGCCCAGACCTGACTTGAAACCCTTGAGTTGATTTCAAATCCCAAGATATTTTTTTCCTGTGATTTTAGCTTATTCTGCCAAGTATGTTGTGAGAGCTGGCTGCTTGTCAGGCATAGCCTTGCTCTTTTAACTTCAGTGCAAATCACCGTAAATTCCAGAGATGGCTTCCCTGGGTGACTGAGGAACTGATAAACACGGCCAATCATCTCACGAAATGGAACAACAAAGAGGAGCCTGAATCCAGACCAATGCCGCCCTGTAAACACATTGATGGGGCTGGTTTTGAATATTAAGAAACAATGTCTAAAAGCTTTGTTCTTTATTTCCTGAAAAGTGCTCTGCTTCCAGAGAAACACTTTTTCCCTCATTTGTTGACTCGTTAATTTATTCAGATTTAACACAGATGAGGTCACAGCGTCGGGTCTACTTTTGCTGTGATGAGAAGTTTTAAAGGCATGTGCTTTGTGGAAAGTAATTCCTGGGGATGCTGATTTTAAAGCTAGCTAGCTTACTAAAACAAATAAAAATAATTCAAATATCTATCGCTTGGGTCTGTAACCATTCTGTGGAGTATGGTAGGGAATGCAATTTGAGGATTTTTTTTTTTTAAAAAAAAGCAGGAATCCCATTTCAAGCCTGCACATGAGTTCCCAAAATGTTATATACATATATGTATTTGCGTATGTATGTGCACGCACATATGTGTGTATATACACAATGTGTTTATATATGTGTGTCTATGCATGTATACATGTGTATTCTGTATGTATGGATATACACACATGTGTGTATGTGTGAAGTATGTGATTATGTGTATGTATACACATGTGTATATGTGGGTGTCTGTATTTACATGTATGTGTGTGCTGTATGTGTATGCATGTGCCAAGATTCACAGAGCATAGTCTTTAGTAAGGGGATGGCACTACAGTCTCCTCATTCCTGTTTGGTCATGCTTATAAAATAATTTCAAGCATGAATTGTTCATAAGCATACAGCTAAATGTAGTGAATCCCAAATCTTGGATATTCAGTAACACAGAACCTTTACAAAGGAATGTCACTATTTTCCCAAAGAGGCCCTGGATCTGGGGGGAGGGAGGGACAGAAGGCTTGGGAATTCTTTATAATTAGAGACATCCCCACACACCTCAAATGTGACAAGGGAGACATGCACAGTCCTAAATGAAGTCCAGTTTGTTATTGATGGAAATTCAAGTGAACAAGCAGTCATCTGGAGCCTGGACTTAGGGATGGCCAGTGTTAGTGGAACCGGCCATGCAAAGATAATAGCAGAAACAGACAGCGGCTGAGTGACTGCGGTCCAGCCCCGCTTCCTGCATTCTAATCTTGCTGTCACTGCACAGCTTCCCTTGGAGCTCTGCCAAGCAATGTGCCAGCAGAGAAGCTGCTCTGGTGAGCAGAGGATGTGGAAGCTGACAGCTCTGTCACCTGCTTCCGGGGAAGGCTGGAAGCATAGGAAGGCTTTTGGAAGCCTGATTCCCTGAACAACCAGATCCATTATTAAGCTATTCTCTAATCTAAAAACTGACTTAAATGCCAAATGAGAGAGGTAGTACATTTGTTCCCCTAGCTTTTGAATATCTACTTCTATGACAAGATTGGGATCTTCCCTGTGTCCAACCGTGGTGCCCAGAGACATCGTCAACAACAAATTTAATTTGCCTTCAATGCTATAATGATCAAATATCCCAGGAGAGTTGGATGCACAGTGTTGTTCTGAAATGAAGGGTTCATTGCGGGGACAAATACAATCAAAATGCTTCATATACATATAAGAAAAGTTATAGTAAGATCTGAAATATACATCACTAAAAAGCGTGAACTGCCATTAGTGATGCATCAGGATTTAGCAGCGTTTCTTACTGTACTTCCTCATAAGACTCTAGTGCAGTATGTAAGGGCTGAGCTGAGGAAGAGAGCAGGGGTCCAGAGAGAACTCACAAACAGCCTCCCCTGCTATTGACATTCCGTGACCAGTCATTGCTGCTCCTCAGTCTGTGTTTCAGAAACTCAGCCATTGGATTTGGGCTTCTGAATTCAGTGAACCCGCCAAACAATGGGTACTCAGCTGTTTCTTCAAGGCAAAGGGAGAGATGTGGAAAATGGGGCCGTCCTATAAAACGGGGAGAAACCAGTATGTACTTTCTACACATGAAGGAAGCAGACACTTCAAGTCCAACAAAACCTTGGTCCCTGGGAGCTGTTGATGGTGTAAGGAGTGGAAGAACCTTCTATGGGGATGTGTGGGAATGCGCGATGTAGCTGAACTAAGAGTGAGCAGGAGCCACTGCTTTTGCCACCCCCCTACACACAGCACACAGCACACACACACACTTCTCTTCTTGTTTTTTTGAGGCAAGTTTCCTCTGTGTGGCCCTGCCTGTCTTGGAACTCACTCTGTAGAGCAGATTGGCCTTGAACTCACAGAGCTCTGCCTGTCTCTGCCTCCTGAGTGCTGGGATTAAATGCATGCGCCACCAAGCCAGACTCTTGCA